TAGTTAAAAGGAGAAGGTCAACTGGCAAAGGAAGTAAGTGGTAATGTCCAGACATGCCATCACACTTACTGTTTGCAAACAAGTTAAAAGGAGAAGGTCAACTGGCAAAGGAAGTAAGTGGCAATGTCCAGACATGCCATCACACTTACTGTTTGCAAACATGTTAAAAAGAGGGGAGGAACAGACATGGAGCTGAAGTGGAGTTCATGTAGATGTGCAATTGCATGTCACTTACCCAAGATTACCTGATCAATACTCACCAGTACACCAAACTTAATCCATAATCAGAAGTCAAAACAACCACTGATTGACGCAACTTATAGTTCTCACCTTCCTCTGTCTTGTCCATAACATCATCCTCATCATCACTCAGTTGCACATCTTCAAACTTGTCAATTTCACCAAGTGACTGCCCTAAGTGAGTGAGCTCTTCATCCTCCAATCTGTATTTTCCATGGCGTTCATGATGATGCTATGTTTGGAGAATATTAGAAAATAAAGAATTTGACCATGATTCTCGAAAAAAATGTCTCGGTTCACTCTTTTTCTTTGACTTTGTTCGTAATCTCCCACCTCTACTGTTTCCCGTAAAATGCATTATGTTAAGTTCAAAGAGTAACAGAACTTTGTGAAATAGCTGATTCATTTATGATTCTTCACATATTTATCCTTATTCAATTGTGGTATGGGTTCACAAACTGTAGCTACCAGTAGAGGATTATTTTGTCAATTTGAAACAAATCCATTATGCATTAACAGACATTTTTCTATCACCCAACCAACAATTTGCATTGAAGATTTCCAGAACAATAAGGGATGCAGTATTCACACAAAAAGTTAGTTCAGCCACACCTTTTTTTCCATGGTAAATCTCTTCAACATCTTTTCTTCCAGTGACATTTTTTCATCATATTCACCAAAACGACGATCAATAAACATGTTAGCCTAGGATTATGAAATGAGATAAGACCCTTATCATAAACATCATTGCCAAGAAAAGTATATATCTCATTAGACAACAAATCAACAACAAACAATGTGTAGAGGTATACATCCTAAACACAACTATTTCCTTTCACAATCAGATATAATACTCCTTTCATTTTCCAGTATACTGTATCACTTGCAGGCCTCCATTCAAACCAGCTTGCAGTTGAACTGGGCCAGCCTAGTTAAATATTGCTAATAAACAGGTACATGTAAATAAATAATAAAAAATAAAATACTTGAACCAGCCCAATATAGGTAGCTCATGAAGCACAAGAAGAGCACTGATTATTATTTCTTTACTGGTTTATTATGTCTGAATTCATTGTCTGACAGTCTATGAGAAAGCTGGAATTTTTCAAGTTTTATTTGCAATGTCCCCATAGGTACAAAAAGAGGAGAATGTTTAATAAGCCCTCAGCCTCAGAGAAGCATCACCCTCAAACTCCAAAATTAAACAACACCCAGGGCACCTATAGACAGTGTCCACTAATAGAGATCTAATGTAATTTTTGGGCTCACTGAGCCTTCTACAGGCACTATGTTATGGTGTCATATAAGTCTGTAAACTTTCTCCCAAGCCCCTTGTAGTATTCAAAATGGCAGAGTATCATGAGACTCTTACAACATATCTTATGACTTTTCCTGGTTCAGTTCTGACCCCAGCCATTGTTGAACAAATCTGAATGGGTTTCTTCTGATTCATTTTTGGATTTTTGGGTTTAGTTAAATTTTTTTTCTGGGCTTCACCTCTGGATTTCAACTTTATTATTAATTTGAACCTAATAGCTACATTGTCATATGTGCGTTTACTCTGAACATATCTAACATATCCTTTAAAGAAGAATTTAACTTGAAATGAAACAAAAAGGAAAAAAGTTGGGGCAGCCAGGACTTGAACCTTACACCTTCATACTTGAGTGGAGTCTGTATATCCAGAGCACCAGGTATACAAAGCTTACAAAGTGGTGAAGTTTTGTATTGAAATAAATTTGATGCACACTTAAAACAATCATTAGTCCTATTCTATTAATTTCTTGCCCTGTCCTGACCTGTCAATTGACCAGTGTACAGACTCTACTCTAACAAAGTTAGATCATATTTACAGTAGTTAGCGCTTGTTGACATTATCGGTCAGCACTATCGGCCAACATATTGGTTGAATATCAGCTGAGTGCCAATCGCATATTGGTCTATATGTCGGCTGATACTTAACCAACACTCAGCAGTTATCCGACCAATATGTTGGCCAAGTGTCAGCCGCTACTCAACAACAACAACATTAACTTTATTTTTTTCACCCCAAAATATACAAGAAAGAAAAATGTATAATTATAATAGTACAGACAATGATAGGGGTGCTGGCTGCCCGAAATAACCAAAGAGTTAAAAATGCCAGGCAGCCAAGTTAAAAATGCCAGGCAGCCAAGTTAAAAATGCCAGGCAGCCAAGTTAAAAATGCCAGGTAGCCAACCTCTCAGCCAACCTCCTTCTTTTGATCATTCATCTATTGGCTGATAGTGTCAATGATCTACCGGTGAACTATTGGTGAACTATCAGTGAGCTATCGGTCGACTATCGGCAAACTATCAGCGAGCTATATGCCAACTATCAGTGAACTATTGCCGAGCTATCTTTGATTCTGCATTTTACACCAAATTGCTTTTTCACTGCAATACTCTACAGGGCTCGAAATTAACGGTAACCCATTAACCAATGGTTAGTAATTTACTAAAAATGTGTCCAACTAACCTGACATGGTTAGTCAAATTTTCTAACATATTTAAACATTGGTGGACTTCAGGACAAAGAGCACATAGACCTGACTCTCAGAGGAATACTTAGAATACTCAAGTTGTTAAATCAACTTAAACTCTTGTTAGAGAATGTGCTGTAGATGTGCTGTTCTTGAATAATCATGGTAAACGAGAGGGAAATAAAATAAGTGCATAATTGTCAATGTTTTTAAGGTCACCATGCAATTTCAGCCACTCTTTGATTTGTCCTAGTCATTATTATCAAAATGTTGAATATTTGAGATATCGTAACTTGTGAGCTTGGATACCAAACTTTATAATTTGGTTAGTAAAAAAGATGTCTACTAACCCGAAGGGTTAGTGCTCCAAAAATTAAATTCGAGCCTGGTGTCTACAGCTACACAACAGTAGGAATATGCAGTCATAGACTGCCTTTTATTTTTGATTGGGTTGATGTGAATATCATCTGCAAATTAAGATGGAAACACAGTGTAATGACCTACCTTGTTTTTCTGTTTGTGCTCCACCAGGAGTGTTTTTTGCCTCTAAATATTAAACAGATGCTAGGAGTTAGAATGGCATTAACTTAGAAGCTAGTCAGGTGACACATGTTATCACTAACATATTAAATGATAAGCCAATCAAAAATATACACACATTCTGATTGGTTCTAACCGAAGATCTATTGGAAGACAGATACATAGATGATGTCACCATTGACAACATTTCCTTTTTCTATCATATGAAACAAATAGACTTAACAAAGACATTTTTTTCCTCTTTTCATGAGCATGGGACAAAGAGTCCCCATGAGGAATGGAACCTCAGGCCTTCCAATTTCTGCGCTCCAATACTCTGATGGTCTAAGGCTGGATTCCTCATGGGGACTCAGAAGTTTTGCTTTTTCCTACGCTCATAACAAGATGAAAAATCATCTTTCTCTATTTATTTACCAAGCTCAAAACTTACCATCTTTCTTCTATTTAAAAATGGACTTCTTGTTGCCACTGGTCTGTACAGTAACATGTCACACATGACATCAAAATGTGGTAAGAACATCAGAGACACACTCAGCTGTATCTTGTGTGCCACTTTTTTTTT